TGCTCTATTTTACCATATTCAGCAGAAAATCTAACCATGCACACATGTGTAGAAATCTTTCTGCTAACTTTCTCGATATTCTTACGCTTCTGAATTTAGACGCGAAGATACCAAGCAATATTCTTCAAAATTTTTTTGAGCATCCGCACTTTCGGTATGTACAAATTGCGAAACTTTTAAATTAGGCAAATATTACGCTAACTGACAGCTTTTAACGCTCCTATTTATTTTTGCACTTTTATTGCGTAAAAACATTTGTAATTCTGTACAACTAATGTGACGTAAACTTTGCAGAAAAATGTCAGTATTCTATCGGTAAAATTTTCATCATCCCCTTAATTGTCACAATTTATAATATTTTTCTCCTGATTTTAGAAGAATCCTTTTGAAAATCGTACATGAGAGGACAGAGGATGAGATTATATTTTTGGGGGTGTTACACATATCGTGACGATTAAGGGAGTTAAATATCACCGCGGAAACGATACGGATGACGAGCGTTTGGACGAGGAATTTTCCTAAGTGAGCGCCGTCATTTTGCGAGAGATATCTGCGACCGTCATCGTCGGTGTACGCGAGCGTGGAGTTCCCGTCCTTCCGGTATCACGAGCACACATTGTACACGACCGAGCTGATCGAACAGCGTATCACGTTAACTGCACGTCAACGTGCACACGCGGCTCTTGCTATATTGCGGATATTCCGTAGCGAGCAGACCGTGCCGTGACAAGACACAAACCACAAAGCAGTATTGGCTCGCATCGCTGTTGATCGTCCACGGCTAAACAACAATAGCTCGTACAATATCCAAATTATCATTTTATCGGGCCACACCGAAAACGGATGTCCCTCCAACCGCGGATTCTGCACGACGTATCCTCGCGCTTTACCAGAGATTCTACGCGTAGATTCGTCGCGTGAATCTATCCGGTGTCTGGGACTTGGCGCACATCTCGCGTAACTCTTATTTAAAAAAATATAATCTCACTCTCAGCGTGATAAATATTGAAAAATCCTAGGGATTTTCCTAAAACCAAAAGAGGAAAAGTTATTTTTCACAATTATTTTTGAATAATTAAAACACGGGTTTTTCTTGGTCGAATCAGATATATTCTTACAAATAACTTGTCTAGTGCTATGTGACTCCATTTGAAAATTGACATGTCTAAAGTAAAGGTATTTTCCAAACAAAAATGTCCTTTTTCCCGTGTAGACATTGTTCCAACATTTTCCCTTTAGAATCAAGAGAAACACATTACTTTGTAGCAGAATGCCTTCTCTTGTGCGATATGAGGGACGCAACAAGGAAGATTGTACTGCAGGTAAAGGGCGAAATTCCCCTAACTTTAAGAACATTGTGCTTAGAGTATTTTTCTTTCGATCTTGGAAGAATGCTCTTAAGACTATATATATATGATTCCACTAAGGATGAGATGATACTTTTTTTGAAGTTGCAAGCGAAGAAAGAGAGCAATTGAAATTGATAAATAATGATCAAGACATTTGTAGGAAATAACACACAGCGTCAAGCAGTGAAGTGTTCTCTCGAAGAGCAACGAAAATTACTTTCGGAAAACTCGATCGCGCGTTATCCTGTTATCTCCCACGGCACGATAATTATCGGATCGCTCGCAGTCGATTCGGAAATGTTCGCTCAAACATTTGGTAGAAACAAACGACAAGATACGCGTGCAATCGCCAGACACAGAGAGTGGGCGACAATAATTAAAGGCGCGGTCGGATGGAAAGTAACCGGCTGCGCACTATCGACCCGAATGCATCGATGAAAGCCGCCAGGGCTGACGACACGGGAGCAGCCCGATAGACGCTATCGTGCTTCAGTGGTCGATCCTTTAAATTAATCGCTATGAAACGCCATTGCAGCGGCGAAACCGCAGTAAAAATGAAGCGCGCGTTCGCTCGCTCGCTCGCTCGCGTTGCGTTCAATTCGCAATAAGAGCCTCTCGGCTCTCGATATAAGAGCCAACGTCGATGATCGTGTGTTATACATTCGTGGTCGCTGGAAAATGTAAACTGGTTTTTATTACTCGGCTAGAGAGAGAAAGAAAGAAAGAGAGAGAGAGAGAGAGAGAGAGAGCCAAGCGATGTAATCAGCGGGGAATGCGCTGAAAAGAAACGACCAGTTTTACTCGAGTTGTAATACAAATCAATAGCTCGATAGAGGATTACAAATATTAAAAATTACGCGTATCGGCCACCACGGCAGTGTATGTTATGAGGTAATTATACATATTAATTATCGGTTACAGATAGAAGGTGAATCTCGCGGAAAACGGGAAATATGAAAACGAACTGTTGCATATTTTGCTCTTGGGCAAAAACTGATGGAAAATGAGAAGCATATTAGCTATGGCGGTGTACGTATGTGTGTGTGTACGCTTTAGTAAAAGGTACACGCGAGCAAGCGCATCGATATAATTATGTAAATAAAAAATTGAGTTATTATACGCATTTTTCACGGAAACTGCGATGACGAAATGGGAATTCGTTTAAGCGGAAACGCATCAATCAGCGAAATTTTCGAACGGGAGGTATAAACATTGTTCGCGTGGTGACTGGCCGACGAGCTTGATGGACGGTTCCATGTAACGATGAGCCGCGCTGTAAATTAATCGTCGCGAAACGCCGCGAAGCGCGAAACTGAAAAGCCACGCGACCATCGCATTCAATTAGAAAAAAAAAAAAAGGAAACAACCCGCGATAACCATGTGTTACGCGCGTTCGTCGTGTCGCTCGGGAATACTTTCCGCCACGGAAACTGTTTATCGGGAATTATGTTACGGAAGTTCGCACGGCGAACTCGGCAGTGGATACTATTGACAGATGGACTCGAATCTCGGAGCGCGTGAACGTCCGCGGAACGGAATCGGGAAGCGTGTGTGCGGGATACCGAATTGATTACATTCCGAAATATTTCTCCTTCCAGCGAAAGATACGTCCGATTACAGAGACGGAACTTTTAATTAAATTTACGGCCGGGCCGGATCACGTAACTTTTGTATTTCATTTAAGTTGTTAATACGTTCTTTTATTTTTTATTCTCTCTTTTTTTTGAGAGGGGAGGGGGCGAGAATTCAACGTATATACGTCTGAATCGAGTCCGAGTATTGCGAATGGAATCGAACGATCGATCACGTAATTCTCAACCCACTTTCCCATTTGCCATTTTTCATCGCATCGAATCTCACGCGAATTTCTCGTCCGCTTATTCCAGCTCGTCGTGCGGCACCGAAAAAAAGTCACGTGTGATCCTGATCTCCGTAAATTCGCGTTAAAAATCTCGCTTATCACCTTTTCACTCATGCGGAAATGTAACATGATCGATTCTCTCGAGCGCTTACATCCGAATCTTTCGCCTCTTCCCTATTCTTTCTTTATTTTTTTGTAAACGTGAAATTCATTTTGATGAAATTACAAAGTAGATCATAATGTGACGTCACAGAAAATAATTTCTGGCGTGAAATTTCTTTTAAGAGCCTGAATATTTCAACATGAGACATGCGAAGTGTTTTCTCGCGACGGACATTTATCGGTCGATAAAGAAATTCTCTCATTAAGTGAGACTTTCGTCGATGCGTATTGCCCAATTTCGTTCAATGCCGGAGAATTTACTGCAGTTGGAGAAAATATACAGATCTGGCTTTTGTAACTTGGCGCATACCGACCGGTAATGCCCGACATAAAAGAACTGCGACGGAACTGCCCCGGAGGCAAAGTCGTACAGGAAGATCCTAAGTAATCGTTAACCCGGTTAACTTCCGTTTCCGGCAGAGCGCGCAGGATGGATCTAACGGATCTCTTTAATAGTCTTCTCGTGCAATTAGCTAAATTTAGTCATGCACAGTCTAATATTCGGCGAACAATCATCTCGCGCGTTCTCCCCTGTTGAAGAGTATTAACAACGACATTCGACTTCTGGGGCGTTAACCACAAAGTGGGATGGTACAATCATATCACACAACTTGTTTCAACAATTTCGTTAGTTTCTGCCATCAGAATTTAAAATTTATAGATCTCAGTTTTAGTTCAAGTCTTAACTCCGACTTAAGGAACTCTAGAGGTGCGAGAAAGACAACGACATCTTGAGAATTACGACGAATACTACTGAAGACTTAGAGTCATACCTGTCAGTGTTGCAAACAAAATATATCGTTTAGGTTACGCTCATACACTCCATCTTGTCATTGAAAAATATCGAGCGCGAAATTATGTATTCCTGTCGTTCCATTTTCGCTTCTTATTTCGTGTTTCGCAACTTCTTGCTCGGCAGTTATTATCATTACACTCGAGCGTCGCTCTACAACTGCGACCGCGCACGTGCCCGACATTTGTTTGCAAAATTTATTAAAACAAATGGATCACGAGCACGTATAAATTCTGTCACCGGGGCGACTTTCACCTCCTCGCCAGGACCACCCCAAGATCCGCGCGCATTCGTCCTTCTCGCTCTCGCTCCTTTCTACATTCTTTACACGGGTCATAAATACAAATTTTCTGCTCGACTATACGCGGCCCTTTACCTGGCCCCTTCGAATAGGCTTGAATATGTCGCCCGTCAAGGGACACATCTCGGAAGAGAGCAAACATGCGTCTTCAAACTATCCGATCTTCTTTCCCTCCATTTTTCACCTTGTTTCGCGTTGGAATAACGGAGATGACAAAACGAGCATTTCTCGGTCGACGTAGTTGATAGAATACTTTTTTATCTATTGTCGATCTGTAAATATGCGAATAGGAATCAACAACTGTTAGACAACCGAAGATAGATAAAAATTATTTTATTTTCAGTATGAAAAGACTTTATTATTATTAATAAATTAGATTAGATTTTCCAAATGATATTACTCTTTCATGCGAAGTTTTCAATTCACTTTATAAAAATTCTAACACTTTATCATACTCTTTATTGCTACGGACATGTGCTATCTCTTTTATGTGCTAGAAATGATTTTAAGTCAATTTCTCTCGTGATTTTTCAGGTAACGCTCTCGATCTCGATTCTCATCAGCCTTCACGTGTTCTTTCTGCTGGTTGTCGAAATCATCCCGCCGACATCGTTGGTCGTGCCGCTGCTTGGAAAGTACCTGATATTCGCCATGATACTCGTCTCGATAAGGTAAGAGCGACAAATGCATTCATTATTGTCCAAAGGAGTTCCTTTGGCTTCGGCAAATTATCCTTGGCAAATTAACTTTTTGTACACGCGGGATTAGGAAGAAAAAGAAAAACGCAGAATGCGACAAATTAAACACAAAGAACAAAGAACAAAAAACTTATTCAACTTAGAAAGCAACTTAGAGAAACGCATTCACGCACAGGAGGCGTGCCTCGAGATCTCGAATGTACCGGAAACAGGTGCAACGAGACAGGAAACAAATAACGACCGCCCGCAATTTACTTTTCGAAACGGAACTTAACCCGGAGCACGTACATCTCCGACGACGGCAGCACGATCCCCATTAATGTGGTTTCGCCGGGAAATATCGAGGAAAGTGAGAGTTTTCCGTTGAAGGAAACACTATCGTGACGAGAAGAAAGCAAAAGAGGAAACAAGGAAGAAAAATCGAAGGAACGTCGAATGCGATGCTTCTTAGGAAACATTTAAAGCGCTTGTTACCAAGTTTCAATTCCTTTCAGAAACATACGGTTTTCGCAATATCGATTTTAATTACGATATTAAGTTACAGCGAAAAAAAGTTCTGTTCAAAGTGCATAAAGACAATTCACTTTTGCATGTATTTTCAATGTATAGAAGCACCTGTAATTCTGTGCAATTAATATGATCTGAACTTTGCGGAAGAATGTTAGTATTTTGTCGGCCAAGTGTTCGACATCCACTTAAGGGGATGCTGAAGCTAAAAACTTTACCGACAGAATACTGACATTTTTCTGCAAAGTTTACGTCGTATTGGTTACACAGAATTACAAATGCTTTTACGCAATGAAAGTACGTGAAAAAATAAATAAATCGAGCATTGCTCGATCAAACAAACAAACAAATTTTTAATGTAAAATCTCAAGCTGTCAGTTAGCGTAATATTTGCCTAATCCAAAAGTTCCGCAGCTTGTACATACTGAAAGTGTGGATGCTCCGAACAGAAAAATTTTAAAGAATATTACTCTACCTTCGCATCTGCATTTGAAAGCTTAAAAATATCGAAGAAGATTGCAAAAAGAATTCATATATGGTTAGGTTTTCCGTTAAGTATGGTAAAAGCAACACACATTCATGTAAATTCTATATGTATAAGAAATACGAAAAGGATAGCATGATTATGTTAGTGACGATCGTCTCTGCATTATCGACATAGTTCGAGTTCGTCATCCTCTTAAGAAACTCAAAAACGTTCTCGATTCTAACGCTCGCGCTATTTTCAAGACAATCGAAATTCAGTCGAAAAATTCGCGCTGCGCGAAATCACATTCGCGTCTAAATGGTGCCCGCAGCCGCCGCGAATAAAGTCGTCGACTTTTCCCTCGCTCGTTCATCCCTGCCGGTTCTATCTCTTCATTTACGCTGACGACACCCTTTGGCAATCTGCTGCTAATAACACACCTCAGTGCCTCCTTAATTAATCTGAACTTTATAACCTGTCCCTTCTCCTCCAACAGAAAGAAAGTTTTCCGCGTATAAAAGCAGTAGAGGGGGACACGTCGCGCTCGGTAGAAACTTTAACTAGTCGAATCGTTACATCATAGAGATAAATCACGTGTCTCCCCTTGCAATTTGACAATGGCCGAACAACTCGCCGATCGAAGCGGGTTGCGCTACGTAGACGCGGCCCCGTGTCGCAGTTTTGAAATTCGTATTTTTGAGATTAGAAGGGTTTCACTGCTGTGATATCCTGGATTTTAACAACGTATCAAAAGCGAAAAAACGCGTGCCAAAAATAGAATGTCTGTCTATTTGTGCGTATCTCTCCCTATAAGCTCTCCTAAATCCTTTGTCTGATCTGGACCAAATTATGTATAGTTATTTTTTGGGAAAATTTAGATTACCATGAAACCTGGACACCACACAATCTCCCCCTCTGATTGACATCTCCTTGAATGACCTGGCTTTAGAATAACCTGGATCTGAAGTGTTCTTTCATACGAATATCTTTCCACTTGGAAATGGCGCGCAAGAATCTTGAACATGCGTTATCTCCCTTCTAACGTCATCAATCCGGACACAGGGGAGACCAGGAGCTTTAATACCGCGCGAAACTCGAGAGCCGTTCTAAGCGTGTCATCCGGTAGCACGCACAGTAGGGGAAACGTGAAATTCGAGCAGCTGCGCAAAATTCGAATTGGGATACAATTACATTTTTCCGACTATCGCGTTCGTCCGTTGCTTTCATGGCTACTTGTAACGCCGATTCGCGTGTAATGTGCGTGATAATAGCCGTCGGCAAACGAGATAATTAATATCAGGCGTGAGATCCGAGTGAGTGGCACATATGCATCGCGCGGACAGCGTGTGTTTACCAATTTACGATGAAAACGGCGCGCACTCGCCCTCTGTCTTTGTTGCGCGCGGCGAACGTACGCTTCGCGTAAATATTTATTAATCTATTCATTATTTGTCCATGATTTATCGGCGAATAAAGTCAGATAAGCGAGTGTACACACACACACACACGATCAACTGCGCGCCGGGCCGTGTTCGCGACGCGAGATTTTGCACGCCGAGCGCGCGCTTCATAAATATTTTCACATAATACAAATAGTAATAATAATAATCATCATCACGATCGATAAAGATTGAAGGAAGGGAAATTTTGCATCGCGTCGCGTTATACGGGTCGCGGCAGCGGCACAATTTCCTCGAATGTTCCTTCATTTCCTGCTATTCTACGCTTATCCAGGAGCCGAGCTACCGAAAATCCGTCGGATGATGAAGACCCGGCATCGTGATACCGCGCGCGCGCGCGCGCGGATAAACAGCGGCTTTTTGTTTTCGGATCTGGGTTACCGTAGAAACGAAACGCACGAAAGCTCCACCTCGTTGCGTCGCGCGGATTGTTCGGACGAATCGACCCGTGTACCGCGGAAAGTAGCCATTATCTTTATCACGGTATTCGCGACGCTCATGATAACGATAAATCTTCCAATTATTACGCGCAATAAATTAGCTCGCGACAGAAACTCATTTATATGTTTGTCGATTGAGAAGAGAGATTGTAGTCGTGATGATGAGAACAAATCCAGACAATCTATCCGCGCTGAAGGAAAAGCAAACCCCACACCAGATTATTCCTTAGAATTCATTCAAAGATTGAAAAATTACTTTTCTCCTCCGTCTAGATCTAAAAACGTTCTCCCTGATGTTGGACGTATCCTGCATTGTTAAACACACTAATCCTCATCCAAAAGTTTCGGAGAGGAGGGGAGAGAGAACGATCGATTTACACGCGACGCGTAGTCGTTCATGCGAAACCGCGAACGTGACATTCCCGCTTAAAGTCACACCATAATCGCTGCAGACTGAGCAAACATGAAACTAATCCGCGAACTTGTCTCCGGCTGATAAGACGAGTTGATGTTTGCCTTCGTCGCTGACGGTGATCCGTTGCCGGAGAGCCAGTGACGTTAACAATTATTAGATTCGCAGGCTTATTAATCGGATTTCGTCAAGTCGGAAAGTAGTACGAATCCGTCGTGGTGTCGATGCCCTCACGCTAGTAATTGCGTTTGTATCGAAGTCGCAATTACGAAAGTGCCCACGACTCTCCTGCCCTTTTCCCCCGATAAATGTACAGACCGACTTTTCCGCGCAGAAAAAGAAGTTTCAGTTCGTGCAACCGGACAGATGGAAATTCGATAACAGAAAATGATGTCGCTGTCGCCGCGATCGAAAGCACTCGTTTGGACATTAAGTTGCATTAAAACTCGATTGAGGTAACTCTAGTTGAAATTGTAGCCCTACTTTGAACCTGACATCTTAAAAGGATCAGTATATGTGTAATACACATGGAAACTGAAGTCCTAGTTAGCGCCTCTAAATATTAGAAAACAGACAAAATATCACTTGTAAGTTTTAAAGAGATCAGTAAAGCTGATAGATTACATAAAATTTCAAAAGAAGTTGATATAAGTTTCAGAATCTCAAAATAGACGTTAAGACAAATATTGAAGTCGAAAGGCATTTAAAGGCAAGGTGGAAACGTTACTGCTCGCGGTAACTGAGATATTATTTCTCGTCAGTGAGTTTCTTGTCTGGATTTTAATGACTTGTACAAAACAACAAACGAGCAATATTAATTTGTTTAATGTTTGCAGCATAAATACATTGCGATTTAATTTATACCTCATATGCCTTTTTGCATTTCAAAATCACGCGCCCATCGATATAGTTAAGCTATTTTGAACACTTTTGAACCCCGAGAATTGTGCCCCGAGAAGGAAATCACAATTTACTAAAAATTTACGAAACCGAGGGAGCTTGAGAATTTATAGGTCGTAACTTGTAAGCGACGGCGCTTGCTCTATCCGAAAAGCTGAGTATAACGGTTAATCGGTCGTCGACATTTCGCCGCATCAATTCTAGAAGTGTGTCTATTCACACTCTTTTGAAAAGTGCCTCGAGCGGCTAGCGCGCACGACCCTTTTCAAAGGGACCTCGTTTCAATATTAATGGCGGCATCTGACTTGGTCCCGGCGACATTTAACTAACCACCCGGTCTGTCCACCCCGCCATTTTTACGCGGCCTCATGTGTTCTCCGTTCCGCTTTTCCACATCAAGCTCGACCAAAGGAATCGCGATAAAGAGACGAACTATACTCGTGCTCTATGCAACGATAAGATCAGCATAACTTTTTTTTTTTTAATTCTCTCTCATCCCTGAATGCTAATCATGCGTTCATTATTCGGAGATATTGAACTCGCGTCTAAAACGCGAAAAAAAACTTTAGCTCAGGTAACTGAATGGGGACCAGACGAAAAACTCGCCGACGAGAAATAATATCTCTGTTCCTGTGATCGAAGACATTCGTCCGAACATTCAGCTGCATTAAAAGTCAGTTGAGATAACTGAGAATACTTGACGTTGAGCGGAAACCTCCTACAGGAATCTTTCTGTTCCCACAATCGAGTTTTTCATTCGTTCTCCAACTAACAGAAAATTCAATTAG